TCTGAATCTGAAAAGGCTTGGATGTTAGAAGTATTTGAGGGTGGATAGAAAAGGTCAAGCCAAGGAGATGTTTTTGAATACTTGAGAACACGTAGAGCAGCATTAAGATGGATATCTCTTGGATTAGAAACAAATTGGCTTACATGTTGGATTACAAATGATATGTCTGGCCTAGTATTTGTGAGATAAATGAGTCTCCCAATGAGTCTACGATAAGATGTAGGATTCTGCAGTGGTATACCTGAATCAGGAGTAAGTTTTTGTGATGGATCAAGTGGGGTAGATACAATTTTACAACATGTAAGTCCAAACTCATCTATACGTTCCAAACAGTACTTTCTTTGATTAATCACTAAGCCTTTCTTAGATCTTGCAACTTCTAAACCAATAAAGTATTTTAGATTTCCAAGATCCTTGATATGAAACTGAGCATTTAAGTAATTCTTTACTTTTGTGATCTCAGTTATATCATTTCTCGTAATCACTTTATCATCCACACAGATGAGCAGAAATGTAACTTTAGAATCAGACTTTTTGATGAATAGAGAATAGTAGCTGAACTGTGATGATAACCAATGTTGAAGAGATGAGATGTGAACTTTTGGTTCCATTGTCTGCTGGCTTGTTTAAGGCCATAGAGTGATTTGTGCAGTTTACAAACAAGATCAGATTTAGATGAAAGAAGTCCTGGTGGAGGTTTCATATAGACTTATTCACATAAATGACCATGAAGAAATGCATTGTCTATATCAAGTTGCTGAAGATATCAGTTATTTGTGGAGGCTAGTGATAGTAATATATGAAGAGTGGTAAGTTTAGTAACTGGAGAAAATGTTTCAAAGAAATCAATGCCTTCTGTTTGAGTGGACCCTTTTGCTACCAAACGAGCTTTGTATCTCTCTATTGAACCATCAAAGTTTAACTTGACCTTATATACCCATTTACATCCCACAGTTTGTTTACCCTAAGGTAATATAACTAAGGACCAAGTCTTATTGTCTTCAAGAGCTTTCAGTTCATTAGCCATGGCTATTCTCCAGCATTCATGCTGACAAGCTTGTTTGAAAGATGTAGGTTCATTATGAGTGGAAAGAGAATGACAGAAAGCAACATGACTCTTGGAACATTTTGAAAGATCAATATAGGACTCAAGCTTGTATGGTGTAAGAGAAGAGGTTTTAGATGTACCACAATAATATGAAGTTAGGTATCCTGGTGGTTTCCTAATTCTAGTGGTAGGATTTATGGAAAGATCTGTGGAGTTGAGAGTTGAAGAATGATTATCTGATGAGGGATGGTTGGTTGATGAATGGAAATTATATGTGTTATCATCTTGAGAATGATGAAAGGGAAAATCATGTTCACAGAAGATTACATCTTTGGAAACAAAGATGTTACGGTGATGTAAATCATAAAGAAGGTATCCTTTGGTGCCTGTTTTGAATCCAAGAAAAATACATTTTTTTTGCCTTACTATCTAGTTTGGTTCTCCCGGAAGATAATGTACTAGAATAGGAAAGGCATCCAAAGGGTTTTAAGGAATTGAGGCCAGGCTTAGACTGATAGATGACTTCAAAAGGGGATTTTTGATGAAGTGTTGGACTGGGTAACCTATTAATAATGTGAGTGGCATGCCCAAAAGTAAGGCTCTGGTTGTGACACCGCTCCCAATTTAAACTTGGATTTATTAATCCATTGATAATAAAATCTAAGGGAAAGTGCAATTACAAATTTCGATAAGGATGACTAGTTAAAGTCATGGATATATATCCACTTTGAAAATTTGTTACAAGTATATCGATCATACTAGAAATGATTAATTGATTAAATTGATACCGATTAAATAAATTGTGAGTCGGACCCCAAACATGGGGAGGGACTAACTAATACATATTCTAGGACCTCGGTAAATTGAACAAAAAGTCCAAGGATAAAGAAGTATGTGAAATATAATTGTTTGGGCCGAATAAAAGGTAAAGAAATAAGACGGGAGACTATTTGAGTCTACTTATTAATAATAGAAATATAATTGGGTATGAGCCCGAATATTGGGGAGGACCATCCAATACATTTTAGGATCGACCTACTATGGTCTACTAGCCTAAAATGATATAAATAAATGAATAAAAGTCACTTAGGCCCAACCGAGATATATCAAGTAACCAAAGTGGCATTTTTCCCCAACTTACCGAAAATAGCGAGTATGAGGGTGAAGAGCGTCCTACACTTTAATTCGGGGTATTCCGTATAAAGTATAGACCATAATCAACGGGAGGATTAATTTGTAAATAGCTTCGGACCCGATTTAATAGAAAGGGGCAGCCCATGAGTACAACCCAACCCACTTAGCCCAACTTTCTAATAATAGAAAGGATAAGGGGTGGGAAGACTCTCCTCCTCCCATTTGGATAGCTTTGTGCGTGAGAATAGAGAGAGGAGGGAGCTCATCATAAGGCTTCACACGTTCCTTGGGCAAGGAGGAAGAAAGAGGGGGATTCCGGGAAGAAGAAAGCCCGATTCTAGGTAACCGAATGCTAATCCCGCTCAAAGTAGTTATTTACTTCGTTTTGTGAATATGATTTTTAAGAAATCATATGTGGGATCAATGAGCATGTTCAACACGTTTAAAAGTGTATAAATATGATATAAAGTGTTGGGAATTAACTTAGAAGAGTTGTGGAATCGATAGGAATCGAAATCGCCGGAAACCGCCACTTCTAGGTGCTGTTTTCGTGCAGCAGAACCCAAAAGCCGGGCAGCTTTTGCAAAAGCCGGGCGGCTTTTGCTCTCTGCCAGCCAAGGTCATCTCAGGTCATTCCCGATCGAAGGTTTAACGACGGGGCTTCAATAGGCAACCTTCCTGGACATATATAAGGTGAGGATGGCTGACTATATTGTCTATAACTCGTGAGTTGAGCATGAGATTACCTAAGTAATCAAATTATGATTTCGATGGAATTAAATGATATACTCCAATGTGAATAAATGTGTTGCTATGTGGTGATACAAATTGATACATGATATTACTAAGGTGGATAAACAAAGGCATTATGCATGAGGGGAGAAATCCTTGAAATATATTAATTATTGAATTGATATAGAGGATAAGCATGATATAGACAAATGTTGATAAATGTGTGATTCCATAAGATCTTAAAAAGGGATATATGGATACCTATGTGGATAGGCAAAATGATTAAATGTGAAGTAAGGAATACTTGAGTTATTGACATGATCAAAGTGATATGAATCCGTAGTGATTAATTGTATGTGCTATCTATAGTATTGAATTAGATAGGCATGAACTTAGAATGAGTGGTGGACTATGGTCACACTCAAAGGAAATGGTGGAGTCTACCTAGACTATATGAAGGCAGCCCGGGGAGTCTTGATGAAGACTAGCCCGAGGTTGATAGATTATGATTGCTCGTGTACAATGAGTATACGGGGATATATATACGGGGTGTGTAAGCCCTAACGAGATAAAGGATATTACGCGGGGTGTGTAAGCCCTACACGAATAAAGTATTACGCGGGGTGTGTAAGCCCTAATGAATAAAGTATTATACGGGGTGTGTAAGCCCTACATGATAAAGTATTACGCGGGGTGTGTAAGCCCTAAATGAGTAAAGTATTACGCGGGGGTGTGTAAGCCCTAAATGAGTAAAGTATTATACGGGGTGTGTAAGCCCTACACAAACTAAGAATATACGGGGTGTGTAAGCCCTAAATGAATCAAAGATATTATGCTGGGGGTGTAAGCCCAAAATGAATGAATACACCCGTAGGGTGGGTAAGTCCAACGTGGACGAGTACAAATGATAAATTGTGTAACCCTCTCGATGGAGTTGGGTTTAGACTAGGGGTGGGGTAACCTCTCGAGATTGTTATATGCATGAATAGGCCAAGGGCTATACAAAGGGAATTGTTTTGAAATAAAAATGAACCTACGGGTTGACTATTTTGACTTGGTATATATATTCTATACAAGTGATTTGAAATGGGGTAGCTGTAGGTTATGCCCATAATATAGTATCACCCTATGTTGAGGGTCTTGTGTTTGAAACATGAATTATATTCAGTATAGTTGTCATTGTACTTGTCAAATGCTTCCAAGTACTGACCTCCCCTTCACGGGGGAGGCCACCTCACAGTTTTTCAGGTAGAAGCTAGAGCTTGCTTCCTGTTCCCGTTGCTTCGGGTGATCTATGGAGAGAAGACGTGGTTCGTGCTTCTTCCAGTTCTATTTGATATAAATAAAATAATGCTCATGGAACTATTTTAATTTATAAATGATTCGGGAGCCTGCGTGCTCATGTTCGCCCTGTGTGGCCTTTGACTTTTTAAAAGTATTTGTATTCCGCTGCGTATATTTGAAATGCTTTATTTATGATTGTTTATGGATGTACTAGTGTGAATGGTATTCATGTACGCCTTGCATGGTTCGAGTAGGGTGAACTGCGGTTGCCTTAATCGGATTATGCGGCGGTTGTTAGCGCGTCCGGCCAGGCCGGGGCGTGACACTGGTGGTATTAAGGATGTGTTGATGTTTTCTTTCAACAACTGAATTTTGTTGGGGACATTCAATGCATGAGGTCTCATGTTGAATTCCATGAGTTTGATAAAAATCATGAAGAAGAAACTCTTTGCCATTATCTGAGCGAATTTGTTTTAAATGACAATTGAACTGATTTTGAATCAAGAGAATGAAAGGAATGAGTAAGGTTCTAACATCATATTTTTGTTTGAGAGTGTGAATCCATGTAAATCTACTAAAATCATCTACAATGGTTAGAAAATATTTAAAACCATCAATAGATGAAGTAGATAGAGGCCCCCAGATATCAACATGTATCCTTTCAAAAAAATGTTGTGATTTGGTTGTACTGGCAGGATATGGAAGTCTTTTTTGTCTTGAAAAATGGCATACATCACAGTTATGAAAAGAATTGAAAGGGATATCTTTGTACTGGTGAGATAATTCTTTGAATATAGTATTTGAGACATGACCTAGTCTTAGATGTCAGGTCAAAGAAGAACATTCAGAATGAGAAATATCTGATGTGCTAACATTGATTACATTGGAACTATTCTGAGAAACATTACATTTGATTGAATGCAAAGGAAAATTTATGCTATTTGAAGAAGATATGCGGTAAAGTCCTTGAGACCTTTTAGCTACTCCAATCATCTTCAAAGATTTCTTCTTCAAAATGAAACAATGGAGTTGTGAGAATAAAACAACATAACCGTCAGAAGAAACCGGTTTTGGGATTGAAATAGGGAAAGTTCCCGAAATAGGACTAAAACAGTTTTATAATTCCAAAATAGGACTGCCATGTTTTTTATTCCTAAAATAGGAGTAATTACTGCCAAGTTTGGAAAATACTGTCATATTTGAAGTCTGGTACTGCCAAAACATGACATTAATTAGTCTTATTTTGGGAATAAAAACATGGTAGTCATATTTTGGAATTTTCAAACCTTTTTAGTCCTATTTCGGGTAATATCCCATTGAAATAAGATGGGATTGAAACTGAGGCACATAGAGAACATGATGGAGAGTTACAGTTCCTTTGTTGACAATACCAGAATAAGAAGCTGTGATAAATGATGCATTTGGAAGATTAATATGAATAGGCAGTATTGGAGTTAAGAATGAAAATAGAGTTTTGGATGGACATATGTGGTCAGTAGCACCACTATCCATGATCCAAGAGGTGGGATATTTACGAGGAAGAATCAAGGGATTGGCGTTAACTTGATTAGCAGCATGAGAAGTAGCTTGAATGTCAGTTTGTTGGAGAAGAGCCATGATTCCCTGATATTGCTCCTTGGACAAAGTGAATTGATCTTGAGCTAGATTATCTGAAGAGCTTTGTAACTGTGAAGTGTCATTGGGATCAATCGAAGCCAAATTTGCAGAAGAAGTGTTGGTAGTGTTGTTATATTTGGACTTATAGCCAGGAGGATAGCCATAAATCTGAAAGCGGGTATCTCTTGTGGAAGAATTTCGTCCACCTCAACGAGTGTTTGAAGAACTGCCTCGAGATGTAGAAAAACTGCCTCTATTTGAAGAATTAGCTTTTGGCCGATTTTGAGTCATAACATTGAATGAAGTGGCATTAACTGCGTTAAGAGGTAGTGGAGATCCAAACTCTCTTTCTTGTTGTAGAATCAGGGAAAAAACTTTAGTAATTTTAGGCATTGGATTGAGCACTATGATCTGAGATCTAGTATGAGCAAAATGATCATTCAGGCCACGTAGGAATTTGATGATGTTTTTATCCTCTCTTTCTTTGATTATTTTCTTAAGAACCCCACAAGAACATGGTGTTGAGCAAATACAGACTAGAAGAGTTTGAAATTGTCCTAATTCCTTCCACAATGTTGTTAGTTTTGTGAAGTATTGAGTGACAGAAGATGAACCTTGACGTACTTGCTGAATTTCATCAAATAGGTCAGCTATCCTGAACATGTCTCCATGAGAGAATCTTTCAGACAGATCAGTCCAAATTTCTGCAGTTGTATCAAAGTATATAACAGATTATGCAATTGGAGGAGTCATGGATTTCATCAGCCAAGCCATAAAGATGTGATTGCATCTTCTCCATGGTTCATGCAACGGATCATTAGTAGAAGGCGAAGGATAAGAACCATGAACAAACTTATCCTTGTTCTTGGATCCTAGCATAACAAGCATCTGGTGATGCCATGAATGGAAATTCTTCTCGGTGAGAAGATCTGGAACGAGAATTAATGTAGGATTTTCATTTGGATGAAGAAAAAGAGGATTTGATGAATTGATCACGTGATCTGGAGTGGATTGGAATTTTCAGTATTAGATCGAGTAGTTACCATGTTTGAAGCTTCGGATTACAGAGTAATGCGCAGAAATGGAGGTTTTACATCTGATACCATGATAGCAGGATAAACGAAAGACATAATAGAAAGGAAGAAGATGAATTCGTATATTGAATTTAGTTAGCTAGTTACAAGAGTATTTATATTGGGAAAGCTAAAAATATTTACGTAACTAATCTAACTATATTCTAACAACTTGCTGACAAGGTAGAACTATTCTATCTGCTTCCTCACCTAGCATATATGGGTCTGCGGGTCTGCATGAAGTATGCATGTGTTAATACGCACATGCAAAAAAAAGTTGTATGTATCACAGGCATATTAAACAAGAATTTTTCATAATATGTCTGTGAGACAACTTACAAGTTTATATGTATTGATATTAGACTTTTACGGCATGTTTGGAAGTTGGTTTTGAAAGGGGAGAAAGGTTAAGAGAATTTATAACTCTCCGTCGATATAAGTTAATTCGTGTGAACTTCTTCAAAAGATCTAGTGCAGTGGTAGCAACTATGTGACAGTGAAGATCAATGGCGGCGATGAGACCAGGATGAGCTAGCGAATGGAAAAGCAGGGCGGTCGTCATCTCTCTCACCTGCTTGGTCGGAGTTTTTCTCGTTACTTGGTCCCATGGTATGTCTTCTTGAATTTTGTTTTGTTGATTCCCATTTTTGGATTTGATTCGACATTCTTTCATATTAACCAATGGTTTGCTATGTTCCTTGTGAACAACATTGGTTGTTTTTGCTATTGTTTCTGCAGAGGGGGTAGGCCGTCAAGGCCGTCTTTTAAGAGGTGCAATAGGTGCTTGGCACCGGAGTCCACTCTTGTCAAGGGCCTCCAAAATTTAGTATGTAATATTGCTCACTATACATGAGGGAAAATGAGGATGCTAAAGAGAAAAGTAGGTCAGGGCCGAGGCCCACAGTCAAAAAATCATTTGTTATAAAGTGTTATAACTATTTTACTTGAACTCCAATTTATAAAAATATATATATCAAAATTCATAAATTTTATTATATTTCATACGTAATATCAGGGGCGGATCCAACGTGGAGGGGGGGGGGGGCAGCTGCCCCAACTCAACCCCACCCAACCTCTCTAAATATTTAATGTAATATACAATTATATATATTTTGTGATGAATATAAAGATCTTATATATTAGTTATAGAATTTGTTAACAAGATAACATCTCGCCTAGTTGTTGTTGAGCTGCGTGTGGGTCATAGGGGGTGTTTGGATCTGATTCTCAAAACTGATTCTGCTGCTTCAGTAAGCAGAAGCAGAAGCTGGAGAGTTTGGGTGAAATTCCAGAAGCACTTCTGGTGCTCTAATTTACTCTCAGAATCAGTTTTTTAGAAGCTGGTGGGTACCAGCTTCTGAAAACTGATTCTGATTCTGCTACCACTTTAAAAAAGAAGCAGAAGCAGAATCAGTTCCAAACACCCTCATAGTTTCTTCCTTGGTCAAGGGTTCGAATCCTTGATCCACTGTTTCATCCATATTTTTTTTTTCATTTTGACCCTTTTCTTAAGCTTTAGAAGTTAGAACGAATTTTAAGTGGTTATACATAACCGTTTTAATTTTTTTCTGATTTGAAAGATTTAAAATAATGTAACATAGTTACAATTTTAATTTCACATATATTTGTAAAGTTCAACAACGACATTTTTGCAATTAATATAAATTAATTATTTTCTACATATACTTATATATCCACAACTTAAATTAATTCTAACTACATCCCCCGTTACCTGATTCATTGATTTATTGACATAATTTCAAATAAAATAAAAGTTGTGTGACTTGTTTGTTGCTGATAAAGTTAAATTTATTAAGTATGATATCATATTTTTTGTCGAACAAATATTTCATTATTTATTATTAATTTTACGATATTTTTTTTAATGTGCTTCACTATTTGTGACCTTTTCAAGATAATAAATTTCTAGCGCCAGTTCATCCCCACTCACGGAAATTTCTGAATATGCCACTGCATAGTATGACACTAGTATTGCATCTAATAAAGTAAAAAAATATGAAGATCTGATTGCTGAGGTTCTTCACGCCCAAATTTTTTACAAAGTAGATTCAAGTGTTAAGATTAAGATCACATGATTAATTTTTATACTCTTTCAACTATTTGTTTGAAAAATAGTTCTAAAATAACAACAATAAGTTTAAACTCCAACTTTATTTATTTTTACATCGAAATGTCTGAGTTTTTAATCATAATTACTCGCAAAAAAATATTAACAAAAAGTTTATGTATAATAATAAAAGTAAAGATTCAATTAAAAAATATTGACGAAAAATTAACGTATAATTATTAAATTTTGGGAAATAATCCTAAATAGGAGCAAAAATGTTATGGAATTTCAAAATACAGAACAAATATGTTTTTATTCCTAAAATAGGAGGTGTTACTTCGAAAAGAACAACTTAGCACTTCTATTTTCGAATTTCAAAGGGGAAATCCTCAAATAGAACTAAATGAAATTTTAATTGTAAGAATAGGAGGATAACTTTAAATTTTTTAAAACAGGACTACCTTTCCAATCCTGTCTTTGCTTTGCTTTAATACAATTCATATGCCATTAATAAGTAAAAGTGTAAAACATAAAAGTAATAACCTAAATTTATTTATAATAAATATGTAAAAAATATAAACATGAAAATAAATATTAAGTAAAATTAATACAAATAAAAAATTATAAAAATAAAAAACTAAAAAATTAATATAAAAAATGTAAAAAACAAAAATGCAGGTCTCTCTTGCCGCCTCAACAACCTTCTAGCACCACCAGCTCCTCCCACCGGAAAAAATGCCAATATATGTCAGTAATGTCATCTTGATGGCAGTTTAGAGAAAATTTGACATTTTCAAAGAGTAAAAGTGTAGTCTTCATGACGTTCTTAGAGCAAAATTGACATTTTCTAATACAAAATGACATTTTACACCGATCCGCGATGGCATTGCAGGGAGGTTGTGGAGACTGCGGGAAAGACTTCCATATATTTTTATATTTTTCATGTGTTTTATCTATTTTTTTATTAATTTTTTCATATGTTTTATTAATATTTTACCTTTTTAAAAAATATTTGAATTTTTGAATTTTTTTTACGATTTTGTTATAGTTTAAATTATTTTTTTTTATTATCATTTTTTATGTTTTCATTACAAAATAAAATATGATTTTCCTATTAAGTTATGATAAATGTAAAATAAGAAAGTAGAGTATACTTTAGTCGTATTTTGGGTAGATAAACAACATAGTTGTATTTGTACATTTAGAAATTACTTTACTCTTATTTAGGCTATTTTTTCATTTTTCAAATCATGTTTACTCTTATTTTGGGAGCATTCATCCAAAATAACGTAATGCAAATAAAAGTAGATATTAAAGTGTTTGAGTGAAAGTATATAAAGGCCTGTTTACTAACAGAAATATTTTCTATTTTTCCAAAAATTTGGAAAATTGGAGATAAAAAAATTAGAAAACGTGTTTACCTAACCGTTTTCCAAAAGGAAAAAACGAAACATGCTTCGCTTCTTCCTTCTGAAATTGAAAACTGACTTTTAGACGTTTTTTGAATTTAGAAAACGCGGAGCTAGAGTGACGCTCGCCTTCTCTTCCACCTACCTTCTTTACTCGCTCTCTTTCTCTTCCGCCTACCTTCTTCACTCGTTCGCCTTCTCTTCCGACTGCCTTCTTTACTCCCTTCCTTACTGCGCTCTACCTTCCTCCACCTACCATTTTTACCCCTTCTCCAAACCCTTGCGATTTGAATACCGTCCACTGCCCTATCCTATTAAAGTCGCACGATTGCTTCCCCAAAGACATAGCACCTCTTCTTCAACGCTCTACAGCTCGTAGCTTCACATGTCAACCGAGCTCCAGCTTCACCAAACAGGGCGTCCACTACATTTTTTCTTTACAAAGCACCTTTTCATATTCCAGTGTAAAGAAATTACCATAAATTGTTAGCCATACGATGAGAATTAATAAAAAATTATAGGGAAGAGTTGGAAAAGTTGGTATATATATATATATATATATTATAATATGCGTGAAAAGTTATTTGGCATGATCTTCAGATGATTGAATCAACCTGGGTTGAAATTTGATTATGATTATGGCCACTGGCCAGGGTGTACAGGCTACGGGGATAGTACAATATGTTGAAACTCATACATAGAAATTCGAGAAAGTATTGCAAATGCAATATGGGATGATTGGGGGTGTTTGGAACTGATTCTGTTTATGCTTCTTTTTTAAAGTAGAAGCAGAATCAGTTTTCAGAAGTTGATCTCCCTCAGCTTCTAAAAAAATTAATTCTAAGAGTAAATTAGAGCACCAGAATCACTTCTGCACTTTTACCCAAACACCCCACCTTCTGCTTCTGCTTTCTAAAGGAGCAGAAGCAGTTTTAAGAATCAGATCCAAACACCCCCTATAATGTATGAGATAACAAAGTATGACTGCTGTTCTGATTAACATAATGTCACTTATTGAACTTTCAATGTTGGGGAACATTTATGTTAATTTTTTGTGTTATTTCTAATGTTTATTAATGTGCATTTCTTTTCCAAATATTAAGTCAACGGTTTCTGCAAAAAAAATGGAAAATTGAAAACTTTGTGAAACATGTTTTATGGCTTGGAAAACAAAAAACTGGAAAACGAAAACAGAAAATCGGAGACCTGAAAATAGAAAATGAAAATAGAAAACTGTTTTCAGAATGGTCTAGAAGGCTCATAGAAAAGAGTTTTAGAAGATGAGGAGACCAATTTATGAAAATTTGCTTTTGATTCAAGGAGAAAAGGATAATCAATTTCAAATATTATTGTGTTTATTATACGTATATGTACGGAATATACAGTACAAGATACGGTGTATGCATATTTTGTCGCGAAGCAATAAGTATTCAGAAGGCCTGGCCTGTAAAAGTTTAATCGTCCTCTGAAACAGCTTTCACAGCTTAAACAAATGTTTCTTGGAACCTACCTGAATGCTTTTCTTGGCTGACATTCTTCTTCATCTTCTTCACGGTCTTTGAGGCGCTGCACTCTTCTTCCCAACATGGAAGCAGATAAAATGTGAAATTTTCTTTGCTTTTTCTTCCTTTTTTTTGGAATTTTTTTCATTACTCAGTTTTGTTTTTTCTTTCTGTTCTCGTATTATCTTGCCGATATTGTCCCAAAATATTTATCATTTGGTTTGGGTTCGGGGTTGGCGTTTCTGCTTTGCCAAACGGTACAAGTGCCCATTCGTTTCTTTTTGCATTTTTTTGTTCCCTTCTGCAACCGTATTATTTTACTTTTAAGTTCTGAAGATCACATTTTTGAAAGTTGAGACTTTTTGGGCCTTTTCCTTTTGTCATATGTATGAGCTTTTCTGTTCTCGTTGAATATGGTCTATGGATGGATTTGAACGAAAAATATGGACCCTACTCAAGTTTTACCTTTTCTTGAGTGTTTTGAGTTCTTGACGTGGGGGTGGGGTGTTTTTTTTCTTCTCATTTTGGATGGTGATATTGTTTATGTAGTACTCCGTATTATTTATTATTTAGCACTCTTTATTATGTTCATGTTTGTTTCTTCAATTTGTGATTTATCTTTATTAAAGTGAAATGGGCATTTAGTTTACCTTAAGTGAGATGGGCATTAGGTCGCTTTTTTCTCTAATTTTGTGATGCATGGAGTAACATAGTTTATTATAATTAGCAGCTTAATAATATTACGATGGGGGATTATAATTTCACTCTGTGACCTTGATTCCCTTGCTGTATGGTGTAAAAGGTTAGATGTGTATATATATGATTATCTCATCAAGAGGAAGATGACTGTGTCTGCCAGGGCATTTCATGCTGAAGCAGAAGTACCCACTAACCGAACAGGTACAAGAAATAGGGGAGAAGTTTGTAGTAAAATTTCATAGGCTCAATAACCAGTCAAGTCGTTTCTTAGTTGTTCAAAGCGCACAGTTGTTATATTGTTTCTGCTCAGTTTAAAGTCTGTTTAACTAATAAACTTAATGTTACTCTTCTTAGCAATTGATACTCCAGGAGGATTTCTTTTAGAATGGTGGTCAATCTTTTGGGAGATATTTGTTGCTAGGTTTAGATGCCCTCCTTCAGGATCTCGCAATGAGGTATTTTTAGTATTTTTATCTTGCTGCTATTATCAAGATGATTGAATGGTAAGAAGCTAATATATACTCCCTTTGTCCCAGTCCAAAGTAGATTTGCACGCAGGATAAGAAGTAAAAAATGGCTTGTTTGAGATTTGTGCGGGAAGAAAGAAATAACATTAACCACAAATTTATTGCTTTAAAAGAAAATGAGAGGTTTTTGGGATAACTTAAGGAAATTTTACCAAGTATTGTGAGACGCAGGGAGTATATACAATGATATTTCATTAAATATATATTTGCTATTTTGAGATAATTCACGCCATGCTTCAATCAATGTTCTTAAAAGTGTGAGGCGAGGCCTTATATGGCAGGATAGGCACAGTTTGGCTAGGCATTTTTAGAATACTAGCTTCATTTATAAATAGATTTTATATTTGCATGCTAAGTTCTATATTTGAGGATTGCAGATTGTAATATCAAAATCACAGGAACAGCAGCAACAACACCAAAGTGATGAGCAGCAGCAGTGTCAAATACAACAACAAATCCTGCAGAAACACGTTGAACAACAATCACAGAGACAACGAGAAGAGACTCGATTAGGATGTGCCACTTCCGCTGAAATGCATTCAAGACCTAGCCGTGTGGCCATGAATGCACTAACCAGAAGTAGAAGCTCTTTGCCTGGGCCAAATAGGAAGGTTAGTGAAGAACATGACTCGGAGCTTTGGTAATGACTGCTCTTCTTGTTCGCATGGCTTATATGCTATTATTTTTCTTGAAGAGGCCCATGCAGTCTAGTGATGGCAGTAATGCTGGTCAGCCTTTTAATCATAGTTATACATCAATATTAACTTCAGGAACATGTGTAGACCAGCATCCACGGTATTTATACTTTTATCGATAGTCTGGAGTAAGTTTTTGTGCCTTTTCTGCCTTGACCCACTAATAACTGTATGATTCATTTAGTCACGGAAGTCCTGTTGGCAATTTAAGATCATTTCCCGAAACAAAGGATCAACCTCAGCTGCGTCATGTTTCCCATGTAAGTGAACAACTTGTCTATATAAAACATTGGAGGGGTGGGGGAGGGGGCCATATGGGAGCAGTTGTAATACTTGAATGTCTGTTTCATGCTAAGGCAGGGCCCAATGAATACATTGAATCCCTTAACAAACCTCAAGTCTGCTTTCTCGGACGCATCTTTGACTCAACTTTATGGTATTAACAACTCACATCTGACTTCTATTCTATATTTGGGGAAATAGAATGTGCTGAAACACACAAATATACTCCATCCTTCCGATAATAAGCTTCCAATTTACTTTTGACGCGTGGATTAAGAACATAAACTTCTGGTTTAGATTTATTTAGAAATTAATGGAACAATATTAACTAAATGCCCCTTAATTAAAAGGAATGGGAAGTTTCCTTTGGGGAAACCCTTAAAGAAAACTGGAAAGTTTATTTTGGGATGGATGGAGTACTAGTTACTGTCTATTTATAATTGCTAACTCACACATACTGTGATTCAGGATCAAATCATGGGGTGAGTAATATGCCTTTGAAGGGTTGGCCTCTGACGGTGAGTCGTGTCTTTCCCTCTATGATGAATTGCTCAGTTACAATGGGCTCTTGTATACAATTGAATACTGTTAAACATGTTTCATGAAAATGATGACATCTTTTGTTCTATTGATGCATCAAACCTTATTTGTTTATGTGAACATATATTCTTTATTCTGATGTTATATTTCCTGAGTCAAACATTTGAAAGCAGTTAGGTTTCTATTTCTTAAAGTCCATGGTACATGGTATGCTTCAATCATGGTATGGTATGCTTTCATTAAAAAACTTGATCTGCTTCCTATATGTCATAGAGAGCTGATGATTGTTGTCTTAGAGGATTAATTGATAAAAGTTTTTTTTCCTCCTCGTGACATCACTGATTCCATTTTCCTACAATACCTGCACATCAATATGCATGGATATCAATTTAATGTTTTAATGGAATAAACCTTCCGATGTTAGAACAAGTACTATAATGAAAATGTATTCCCCTTGCTTTGGACTTGTCAATGAACATGATTGCATTTTGCTACAACACCGGCACATCAATCTGCATGGATATGATTTTAATATTCTAATGGAATAAACCTTCCGACATTAGAATGAAGTAGTATAATGAAAATATATTCTCCATTTATGGTTTTGACTTTTGAGCTTGTTAATGAACATGATTGTGTGACCATGATCGAGAAATTGTTTGAGTACATGTTGACTTTTTTTTTGAATAATCAGGGATTTGAACGGCTTCAACCTGGACATCTTCAGCATCAAAACCCTTTGCTTAATCCTTCTCAGCCCTCCCAACAACTTCAGCTGCAACAGCAAATTCAAAGCCTTCTTGGTTCTCAGTATATGGATGTTAGGAAAGACGTGCAACCACATTTTTTGTCTAATTTGGTTCCTGATTCGAATTTGCTGGTTCAAGCAGGCCTCCCTCTTTTCTCTTGTGCGGATGATACACTAATCAAGGTATGCCTTTTCGTATTTCTTCTTGTATAGTGCCGGTGCGACTCATTTTCAATTACAAGATACTAATGGTTCAATGTCAATCTATTGTTTTGGGAATTTTACTAGCTCTATCAGTCTGAATTGGCAAAGGCCAACCAAAGACAGCAGCAATGTCAAAGGCCAACTGTACTTGGTCAATGTCCAGAAACCTCAAGCTATAAAATTGCACAACAAGACAACACGATTACTGCAAGCAACAGTGCCATGGATGCCACCTTTTCAAATACTTCTAGAGACAATGATCAGGTTTGCAGTTTCTTTATCTGCTCTGTATTAGAGAACATATGATAATTGTTTGTGATTCTTGTATTCTCTTGTCTTCTCGCAAATAAATCTTTATTTTGTGTGTATGGTAGTCATCATTCATTATTCATAATCATCAGTATCAATACTGTTGGTCCCGGTTACATCAAAATCTAAATACAATTTATTCCTTACAAATACCCCAGTGCCGCAAAGGCTCCCACCTACGGTGGGGTAAGGGGGGGTCAGATATACGCAGTCTTACCCCTGTACTAAAGCACAAAGAGACTGTTTCTGGATGACCCATAGTGAAAAACGCGTCGAAAATTGCATGGCCCGACTGCTGCTTCATGACAAAGAAGTGCAGACAGTTTAGTGAGTCATTTTGCTTTATTCCATCATATTCCCAAGCCAAAGAATAGAGAGTCTTTGGCTCCATTGCAAATGATGGAAAATGGAGTATGGTAGTCATGTGATACAAAAAATGAAGAGATTCAAACCTTGGGTTGCCACTTGCCAGTGATGGCAGCGAATAGTTTCTATTATTCTATGAGACTTAGTAAGTAACTGCAGAAATCCCATAGTATTACTTCTTTATTACTGTGCCTCTAATGACATAGGGTATGTTTTGGACTTTTGGTCCAGAAAACTATCAAGGAAAGGGAAAATGATGAAGAAAGTTACTCTGTATTTTCTTATGCCCAATTTGACCTTGGAAAATCCATAAAAACAGTATATGATTACTTTTCTTTTCATTTTTTTTCTATATTTTTAGATTTCTTAGTCTTTATATGATTGACATAAAAAGTATAAAATGGTTTTAAATAAGTATCTAAATTAAATTTATTGCATTGTAGCTTATCTTTTTATTACCTCCACATTTTTCTTCCTTCTAATAATTTTCCTCTATGTTTTCCTTTGTATTTTCTATTCTGAATTATTTCCTGGATTCCAAGTGGAACCGTAAGGACTTGAGTTGTCCAAACCAAATTCCATGCCATTTAGGCTATGTTTGGATCCAGGGAAATGTAATGGAAAGGAAACAAAATGTTTCCGAAACCCGGAAAAGAAAATATAAAAGAAAACAAAACATAATTAAGGGTTTATTCTTTTGTTTAGATTGAAATACATAAATAAGAATGAAACTGAACAAATATTGATATTAAATTTTTCGAGTTCAAGCCAATGTATTGAATTCCTCAACATTTTATTCCCATCCAAATTTCTCCTATATCTTCCTCCCTATTTTCTCCCCCTAGCATTTGCTGCGTTGCAAACATTGCCGTAATGTTTATTGTACCAACAAAGTTATTTTCTCTAGTATGCAAACTGATGTTCTTAAAAACTGGTCTCCTGATTTAGTTTGAACTTCTGTTATCTGCTTTGTTATAGATCCCGGCTCTAAGAAAAAGAAAGCAACCATTGTCCTCAAATCCAACGAACAGCTCGGGTACTGCAAATACCACTATTCGATCATCACAAAGCATGTCACCCTCTTCCCCTTCAACCCACACAATGGAAGATGTGATATCATCGGTACCTTTACTGCTTCCAGATGATAGCAAGTCACAGATATATTGCAGCAGTGGTGCTGACACAAATGCATCAAATCAGATGGTGAGAAATTACTATATTTCTGCATTCTTTAATTTTTTTCATATCCTTTTCAATGAATGTTTAGTTTTTATATCATGGTATATGATGACTTTCAGGCAGACATTGTCCGTTTTATAAGTCATGGATCTATGGATGACAATGTGGATTCTTTCCTTGATAAAAATGTGTGCGGCACTGAAGATGCGATTACTCAATGCTTAGATGTTCCATTCTCAGAAATTGGAAGCATTGAATCTAATGAAGTTAACTGCTGTGATTTCTCATGCGAGGGTAAACTTATTGCAACTGGTGGAGACAGTAATAAGGTATCTAATATTCTAATAACTAACAATTGGTGTTTATCATTTTCATCATTTTCATTTACCTACGGTGGGGTAATGGGGGGTCGGATGTACGCAGTCTTACCCCTGTACTAAAGCACAGAGACTCAGAGAGACTGTTTCCGGATGACCCATAGTGAAAATCGTGTCCAAAATTGCATGGACTGACTGCCGCTTCATAAAAAAGAAGCGAAGACAGTTTAGTGAGCCATTTTGCTTTATTCCATCATATTCTCAAGCCAAAAAATAATGAATCTTTGGCTCCATTGCAAATGATGGAAAAAACTAACAATGGTGTGTGTATGTAGTTAAAAGCCCGTTCAAAAGTGGTTAACAATGTCTCATGGACAATTCTATGTTATAGGTTGTATTATGGTGCACAGACTCTAAAGAGCAAAAGTGTACACTTGGAGAGCACTCCGACAAAATCACAGATGTTCGTTTTAGTCCAAGACGACCACAGCTTGCTTCATGTTCCCTGGACCGGATGGTTAAAATTTGGGACATCCATAGCGTAAGTGAAAAGGCTTACTTGCAATCATCGTCAGTTCTATTATTCATAATAAGTATTTCAAAAACATTATTATTGTTGATGATAATTAGCCAGGCAAGTCACTGCGAACCTTTACTGGGCATTCTGCCTCTGTTGTCTCAGTGGACTTTCACCCAAACAAGGAGGACCTTATCTGCTCTAGTGACGATGTTAGTGCTATACGGTATTGGACCATTAAGAATGGTGGTTGTGCGGGAGTTTCTAAGGTAATACATACATGCATACATACATGCATGCATACATACATACATACATACATACATGCATACATACATATAGAGAACTTATCTCATCAGTCCGCCAGACTGGAATCCGCTGTGCAGCCAATACAATTTCAGGTGCTTCCGAGTAGAATTTTTTGATGATATTTTGTGAGCATGTTCTTCATTAAGTGTAGATTATGTCCACAAAATTTCAGCTCCAAATTCAATCAAGAAATTTATTTGTACAGTGTTTTTCAATAATTTATTTAACTGACTTTTTGATTGAATTTTGACCTGAAATTTTGTGGACATAATATACACTTCAGGAAGAACATGCTCACAAAATTTCATCAAAAAATCTGCCCGGAAGCACCACAAATTGTCATGGCCGCATGGCGGGTTCTCATCAGGCGGACTGATGAGATAAGTTCTCCATACATACAGACATGCATACAACATGTGCTGATATTTTCTTCTTTACTTATTCCTTTTTAATCAATGAATTCTGTAATCCAAAATCTCAGGTTGCTGCAGCTCAAGTGAGGTTCCAACCTACTCGAGGAAGGTTTCTTGCTGCTGCTGTAGGGAATGGTGTATCCTTGATAGATGTTGAGACCACTCAAACCTGCAGCAGATATCCTTTGAAGGTCAGTCAAAGGCAATTTATCACTTTTTTTAAATATGAGTACGTGATATTTCTTTTCATGCCTCAACCTTGTGCTTGTGAAGTAATAGTGATTCTTAAAAATTTAATAATAAATTGCAGGGGCATGCATCAAATGTGCGGTCTGTATGCTGGAGCTCTTCAGGGGAGTATATAGCATCTTTGAGTGAGGACTTTGTTAGAGTGTGGAAAGTTGGAAGTGGGGGAGACCAGAAGTGCGTGCACGAGTTAAGCATAACCGGGAAAAGATTCCGTACATGCACCTTTCATCCAATACAACCTTCTTTGCTGGTCATCGGTTCCCAGCAGGTAAGAGGCCGCCCATTTATTATTTGCTTCCTCCATTTTCAGTATTACATTTAAAGCATAGCCGCACCGGGCTTACGCAGTAGTAAGCAGCAAGCCCTTCTACTTTACATGTTGGTTGTTTCAGTGCCTGGAGCTGTGGAACATGGCAGAGAACAAGATGCTGACAATGGTTGAGGGGCCTATCTCTACGTTGGCTGTATCTTCCTTCGCTGGTTTATTAGCCTCTGCGGCAAGCGGTGGCAATTCAGTCAAGCTGTGGAAGTGATGGTAATATATGTTCGGTCTATATATATTATATATATATATATATATATATATATATATATACATACACATACATATATAACATATATACATGCTATCCTGCCTAACTAGCACTGCAGAAGTCGTGCCTTGATCCTAAGAGTGGGGAATACTTTTTTGATGGCCTGGAGTTTTGTTGGGGTTCAGAACAATGTAAAGTTACCATTATGAAGAAAATGGAAAGAAAATATAGTTAGTTAGGTAGTTTCTGGAAATGGAGGTAGGTTATTTGTGCAACTATATACTTCGCATTATATTATTATACACGTGTGAGTGGAAAGATGAAAGGAACTGAATCATATGTTATGCATAAATTAACATAACATAGCTATTAATTAATATGGACATTTCGCTTGAGTGACGCACACTAATGAAATCTTTGCAAATGCTTTTTTTTTTTTTTTGGAAAAGAGAATTTTATTGATAAAAGTCAAAAGTACAAATCGAAAAGGAAATAAAAGAAACAAAGTAAAAAAGTACAGAGAAAATGAAGCCTAAAATTACACCCAAGGAAATTCTCTAGACTGGGACCTAGTCATGTTTTGCCGCCTCTTATTCTTTTGAGATTTCCTATAAATTTTGATTTGCGTGTTCAAGTTGTCCGTTAGCAGGCAATTTTCTGAAGTAACAAATTTGGACTTTTTGCATATCGTTCTGTTGAATTTTGATTTCACGATTTCTTCCGGAGTTGAAATAGGGGGACGGCGATCACTTTCAGTTGCATGTCCCAGGAAGTCGTCCATGAAAAAGAGTCGTCTGATTGGTACAAGTTGTCTGAAGCATCTGAGTACGCCTGAACAAGCTTGTGTTGTTCCACTTAAAAAAAGCACTTTTTAAAGTGATTTTGGGAAAAATGATTAGTAATAAAAGCTGATAGTGTTTGAGAAAAAAATGATTTGAAAAGTAAAAGTTGGTAGTGTTTGATAAAATAAGTTATTTTTTTGTGTAATAGAAAAAATAAAAAACACTTTTCACACAAAAGTCGAGAAACACTTTTTTAAGTAGAAATTGTCACTTGAAAACACTGGTTTTAGTTTGTTTAAGCCAAAAGCTGAAAAGTTTTTTTTTAAGCTATTGCAAACACTCCCTAAGCAGAAGCGAAGATGGGTCAAAACTCAAAATGTTGGTCGTCTTGTTCAGAGCACATATTATTAGGTTCGGGGACTAGTTTGTTTGAAAACTTAATTAATAAAATTGATTTAGTTCATATCTAAAATTTAAGAAGCGTTATGAAATTGAACCAATATTAAGCGGTTTGATTCTTGCTTTTAACTGGTTTCTAAAAGTAAATTTTTTCCGTCGAAAATTACACAATTTACTTTCTACCACAAAAAACGTTGAAAATTTTAACACATTATACATCAAAGTTCAAATTTAATTTAATGAACACTCGGGGGTGGCTCGGGACCAGTAGGACCGGCCCAGACCGCCACTGTGCGGTACCGGACCAGCCCGGTGAACCAGGACCGGGGGGGGGGGGGGGGGGGTTCAGCCCCTCTTGGGGGACCGGTTCGCCCCCCTCCCCCCCTTTCCTTCTCAAAGTGTTCTTGTGGTTAGCGGGTCGGGATGGGTGTTTTGGCGGGGTTTGGGGGGTGGGGGGTGGGGGGATGGGTAAACCCGGGCCGGTACCGGGACTTAACCCAAAAACTAAAACCCAGGTTTGGACCGGCCTGGTATCGATCCATGCCTATAAACACTAACAAGAACGTAAGGTTCTTTCATTTGTAAATAAAATGTGAAGCATTGTTATTTGATATCGATGAAAGTTAGATCGTCATAGTAGCAAAAATAAGACATTTAATTAAAGTTAGGAGTGAACCCGGTCCGGCGGTTAAACCCGGTCTTGAATCGCGCCCGATATTGTTTGGGACCGGACTAGGTCCGTTTTCCCGGTCCTGAGTCAAGATTGGGTAGCCGACTGGATAAAAGGGGTACCTAGTCCCAAGTTCCAATATTTGGGATCGGACCAGATGGTCCTGGTCCTCTGGTCTCAATGACCATTTCTTTTTATTTAAAAAAAACAGGAGTGGGCGGGACGGTGGGCATGTAGCCATCGCCAACGGCTATAAATGGCTATATAGCCGTTTGGGGGGTTTGGGGTGGGGGGTGGAGGGGTTTCGGGGGTTGGGGTCTAAAATTCCTACAAATACTTCAAATTTTTATCATTTTTCCACACATCTATTCTATTCTACTTTGAGTTTCTCAATTCTCATTCTTCTCTTTACTACTCTCAATCTCATTTTATATCTTAATACTCATATGAGCATATACATTGATGGGAAAAATAATAAAAATACCCCAAACTTTGAAGGGGTGTGACTGTGTGCGTTAAGCACCCCAAACTTGCATTTTTAATTTAAATACCCCAAACTTTATATAAAATGTTATTTTCGCACCATTTTCATGTATTATTTCTTTCAAAAATGTAAATTTATGAGGTTAATTGCATAATTTAAAATAGAAAAGTAAAAGTTTTGCAATTAAATAGATTGGGGGTAATGTTATTTATTTCGCAATGGAAGTTTAGATTGCTAATTGTGCCTTCATGAATTCTAAAATATTTTAAATTATGCAATTAAAACCATACGTTTACATTTTTGAAAGAAATACTCCCTCCGTCTCGCTAAGATTGTCCCATTTTACCTTTTCGGGAAGTCCCACTAAGATTGTCCCATACCAAATTAGATAAAGTTTGTGTGGCTCTAAATCATTCTTACTTTATTTTTACTTTTTCAATTCAATATCAACCACATAAACTCACTTTTCTTAATAACTGTGTCACCTTCTTCCGTCCCAATGTTAGTGGGACGGAGGTAGTAATACTTAACAACAACAACAACATCCAAGCCTTAGTCCCAAAAGATATTGAGGTCGGCTAACATGAATCGATACATGATATCTGTAAGGAATAAATTGTATTTAGATTTTGATGATGCTAGACTATTTAGGCTTTTAGAACAGAACCCCTTTAGAAAATTGTATTAGAAATTTCTATATGTAAGCATTAGACTAATCGACTGGACAGAAGACCTTCAGGCCCTCTGTGGAACTTCTACTGGACAGAAGTGCTCGAGACTCTATGAGATTGCCCCTCTGTGTAAAGCAACAGATGGCCTCACACTTGTAGAATTTCGATGCTACCTAAGCCGGTTAAACTAACGGGATATACCCTAACGGCTAGGAGCCTCTCAACGGGAAAGCTACAGTACGCGCATTAAATGTCCATTTAATGTGTTTCACACGTTGAGATATTTAAAGCTGATGATTGACCAAGGATCCAAAAAGAATATCTTTATGCGCCCAAAAATGGCTAGCCGTCTGCTTTTGGAACCAACCAGTCAAATCTACAGTACGCACATTTAATGCAGTTGTCTTCTTCCTCCAACGGGAAGACAACTCTAGTATATAAGATACACCATGAAGAACTACTCGGATAACTTTTGCTCTCTTTACGATCACTCAAAAAGCTTTCTTGAGATCTCACTCTCATCATCCTCAATAAGAAAAGCTTAAGTTGGAAAAGATATTTTTTCCACATCTTCCATATCCAACCAAGAGCAAAGTTCTTCCAGTTCTTCAACACTTCAACTACATATCTTTTGTGACGAAGCAAGTTGGAGAAAATCATGTTCTAAACAATCTTCTTCTAAAGAAGGGAGTCTTAAAGTAACTGGAATAGTGAAGTGGGGATACTTCAAGGAAACTCAGTGAAACAAGACCAGTCTTAAAGGAAGCAAGGAAGTTCATCCCAGGAGACATCTAGAATTGAAGAAGACGTGGAGAGCTTCTTAAGTGCTAGAACTAAGGCTGTGTAATTGTGTTTTTACAAGTTTAGTGGAACAGTGGATTAGAGGAACGAGTTGTTCCTTGAACCACTATAAAAATCCTCTGTGTCATTTACTTACTGCTTTTAATACCTGTATTTATCTCAAAGTGCTTAACTCCAAAGACTTGGTCTTTGTTTCCAACAGAATCCATCTTGTGAGTTAACAGAAGGCCTATTGCCTTTGCACCTTTGTGAGGCTAACCGGACAGAACCCCTACCAAAGGACCATCTGCTGTCAGTCTATTCTTCAACAGAACAAGCTATTCTGTTAACCTTGGTACTTAGCTTGAAAAAGTGAAAAACCAGAACAGTCTATTCACCCCCCCTAGACTGTTCCTTGTATAACCGGGACCAACAATATCACCACCAAAAGGAAAAGAAAGAAAATAAAGATAAAAAAATTAGCTATTATAAAAAGATAATATAAAATGAGATGAATATACCTAAAAATTATAAAATAAAAAGGATAAAAATAATGTTTATATATAAGGATAAAAGAATAAAAAACAAGAAGAAAAAAGATGAGGGGAAATAAAAATACGATATCACTCATCCACACGAATACCCGCCCTCGACTTTGCTCTCTTCAAAGCCATACTCTCATCAAACCCAAGAAGAAGCATATCACTTCGGATTCCCCTAACCCACGTCTATTTGGATCTTCCTCTCCCTCTCTTCCCTGCCTCTTCTCCACACATCTCAACACGTCTAACAGGTGCATCACTCGGTCTTCTACGCACATGACCAAACCACCGTAGGCGAGACTCCCGCATCTTGTCTTCAATAGGTGTTACCATCACCCTTTGTCTGATTGTCTCATTTCGCACGTGGTCCTTCCTAGTATGCCCACACATCCAACGCAACATGCACATCTCTGCCACACTCATCTTTTGAATGTGACATTGTTTCACCGCCCAACACTCTATGCCATACAGCAATGCAGGCCTAATTGTTGTCCTATAAAATTTACCCTTTAGTCTAGTTGACATGCCTCTATCACATAGAAATCCTGACGCACTCTTCCACTTCATCCACCATGTTCCAATTCTATGGGATACATCTCCATCTTGCTCACCGTCCTTCTGAATTATGGAGCCCAAGTAACGGAACATATCAGGCTAGAGTAATTCCACTATTACCACTGCTTCTACCTTCATTAAACTTGCACTCCATGTGCTCTGTCTTGCTCCGACTTAGCCTGAAACCCTTGTTCTCCAATGTTTGCCGCCATACTTCCAACTTTGATTTAAAACCTAATTGTGTCTCATCAATCAATGCACCACAGTATTTCATCTTGAATTGACTTCGTAAGTTCATCCATGACTATGACAAATATGAAAGGGCTCAGAGCCGATCCTTGGTGCACTCTGATAGTAATAGGGAACTCCGCAGTCCTCCCTACATTAGTACGAACACTTGTGGTACAATCCGCATACATATCCATGATGATGTTGATATACTTGCGTGATATGCCTTTTCTAGTAAAGGCCCATCAAAGAACTTCTCGAGATACCCTATCATAAGCCTTTTCTAAGTT